AGTCTGGTTAAACTCTTAGTAGGAGGCGCTACGCTCCGTTCGAAGAAAGTTAAATCCTTACGAGTCACGTGTCATTCGCTCTCCCGTGACATTTGCCTCGACAATAGATAATACAGTCGACTTTCCATAAATGCCACCTCGGGACTGAGAGTGCACTTAGAGAATAATGCAAAATAGTGCATTTACGGTGTGGTAACACATGCTCACGTGATACCATTTTATTATGTACACTTCCTTAATACATTTTTGTTTCCGTTATTGCAATTAGCAAGTTGACAATATGACTTAAATAGTCATTCACTCGTAAAAACTACATATAATTGATGATGAATGTTGCAAAATCCTACCAATTATAATTTTACCTGATGTATGACAATAACTATGTCTGCTTACTAAATTTATACTTAAACCACGTGTTTTTAACAAGTGACGCGCAAGAAACAATATAGCAACTGATATTACTCTCTACCAATAAACAGTCACAGGACCTCTCACTTTATATATTTTTATCTATTATGGAGGATCATATTACTATCTACCATTAATTTACACTTTTTTTTATTATGAATCATCGTATATACTCTGAAACAATAGCCTAACGGTTTGATTATCATTGAGAAAGTCATACTAATAATACTTACTATCTACCATTAATTTACCAATAAACATTAACTTGCAGCCACGGGACCGACACTTTTATTATTTCGAATAGCATCGTATATAATTATCATTGGTCACACTCTGAAACAATAGCCTAACGGTTTGATTATCATGTCATTTCTGTAGAAAGTCATATTACTATCTACCATTAATTTACCAATAAACATTAACTTGCAGCCACGGGACGACACTTTTTTTATTTTCATCTATTATGAATAGCATCGTATATAACGGTTTATCACCTTGATTAAGCGTCTACAAGTACCCATTCTTTTCTTTCCCTCTCCCTCTCATAACACTGACAGCATGGACCTACATGAATACACCGACTTTTACCTTCAGTGCAAGAATGATAACCCTAATGCTACGACTGATGAAATTATCCAAAAGTACAAGTCAATATCAAAACAAGGTAAGCAAGCAATGAATAATGAATACACGTTTGGTGAGAGGATATATGCATTACAGCACGCACATTGGGAGGAGTATAGAACAGATTATATCTGTTTTCATTCACTCATTTGAGTTTGCAATGTTGATAACTTATGTTTTTTACTTTCTTTTATTATTATGTAGTGGTCGGCGGAACCAGCAGTAAAGGTTAGCATTTCTTTGACAAAACTTGGTACATTATTTATTTATGTTAGTTAACTTTTGCTTCTTTTTTGCTCCCGTTAGCGAAACAATTTGTGTTCGATGTTGACGGTACCATAGCTACTGAGGCCGCTTTTTACGAGCAAAAATATATCGACAGATATGGGGTTCTTCAGACCTTTCTTGATCACATAAATGATTCGTTAAATAAATGGGACACAGTAAAATATCATTCACCATTAGTAGCTTTGGTGCAAGCATCGACTATAGGGAAGTCAAAAATGTTATGGGCAGCTGCAGAACACGTCTATATGGTTTATGTATGTCTTCGCAACAAAAAATCATCTGGTATCCCTCCTCGATCAACTATTTCAGATAAACTCTGTACATTCATTGATGATCAGACAGCATTATTCACGTATGTTACATTTATTTGTTCAACAATGCGACATCTTACGAACTTTAAAGGTAACAAGACAGATTGGTTCAAAGCCCATACTTCGAATAATCAGTCAAAATTTTGGAATGTTATTGAAGAGGGAATGAAGAAATGCATGGACGAGGTTCGAAATATAATCGGCAGCAGAAATGATTACGATAAAGTGGAATGGCATTCCATCAAGCAGTTAGTCAAGACATGTTGGGATTCTTCGAAAGAAATTTTAAACAGTAGTGAATCAGAAAGTGGGATACAATTATTATTCGTATTTGATGAAGCCAAAATACTGACGGAAGAAGAAACAAACCGTGACAAAACAAACTTCGAATGTTTACGACATGCACTAGCTACCCTACCTACATACGAATCAGGAGGCCGTGCATTTGCTATCGTCACTGATACAGCATCGAAAATATCAAACTTTGCTCCATCAGCTCGTCGTGACCCTTCTTGGCGCGTTCAGAAGAACAGATTAGCCCTGTATCCGCCGTTTTATCATATTGCCACAATGGACACTTTCATGACACAAGAAACAGAACCAAAGACGTTAAAGCAAGTGGCATCACCGCAGTACTTCTTTCATTATGGGCGGCCTCTTTGGGGTGGATTGCTCAAAGCTACAGATGCTTACACAAGTAAGCAAGTTTTAAGTCCTGAAAAAATACTAGAAATAGCGAAAAGCAAGTTGATTGGAGGTCTTGACCTTGAAGATTGGATCACAAAGAAACATAGTGAGAAAATAACAATATCAGAATCTATTGCAGTCCTTGGCCCACGATTGTGTATCGATGTTGTGCCCCAGACTGAATTGGCCACGGAACTTGTTGCTAGCTATATGAGTTTGTGCTACTACATATCTGATACTCGTGAGTCAGTTATGATCGATTATCCATCGGATCCAGTACTAGCAGAAGCATCAGCCCGTATAACAAACAATACTAATAAAATCGGGTTAGCACACTATGTTCGCACACTCATTAGTGCTCTCCGAGAAGGATCAGTCGAAGGTGGATACAGAGGAGAGTTAGTTGCCCGATTGATCTTAACAATGGCATGGGATAAAGCCTGCGTTGAGCGTGGTCACACTAAGGAAGCAAATGTGTTCTCACGTCCAATGACATTGCAGCAATATTTCCAAGCCCTCTTTTCTTCAAAAGTTTGGCAAGCACTTCAAGACAAACTTTCCTCGGAATTACAAACTGCGAAAATTAGGTTCACTCATTTTATTCGTGTTACATATACACCATCTCAACAACAGCTTCTTGAGTTCTTTCGACGTGGTGCCGCCATAATTTGCAAGAGAAATCAAGTTGGTGTGGACTTAATACTGCCATTGTTGATCAATATTGGTGAGGATGAGGAATTTTCTCATGAACATGTAACATATGTCTTGATCCAAGTTAAAAATTATCAAAGCGGAAATGATCCTAGTTATCCGATGACAGCAACATCATTACTTTCTCCAGATAATGCTGGTATTGAGGAAATTGCAACAAAACCATTTATTGCTCTTTACATGCAACTAGGAACACCGAAAGCATCATTTGATATTCCCCGTCCTGATTACGTCACAAGAAACATCACGAAAAATTTGGAAGAACTTGAACAACCAGAGGCCTCGACGAAGCCTAGAACAAGGGCAAATACGAAGAGAAGATTGAAGGATCATGCAACCGATATTGGATCGGTGAATCTTTTGAAGTGTTCTAGATCAGATGCTACTACGAGTCGTATACATTACCAGACAGCCATTGCATTGTTTGGCTTGTCACGTGAAATTTATGGCATTTTTCCAGACTCGGCACAAGTTATGGAAGCAACCTCATCTGTCACAACAGTAGAACCTGCACCTGTTTCAGATATCACAGAACTACTAAAAATAATGTTGAAAACATGGGCAGAACCGTGCAATCTTCAGAGTACAGAAGCACGAAAGGAACTAATCACAAGAATGAGTCCTCACGTTTACAACACAACGAAACCCTGGCAAGCCATAGCAATGGACAAGAATGACAAAGATGGCAATTCTGAAAAAGAATAACTGATAAAAGCATGCTTTGTTAAAAGTAAATAGGTTAATTGCCCAACATATGGTAGAGTTTCTGTATGGCAAAACGGCATATGGATAATGTTACAAGTTTTAATCATTATTATGCTATGCTATAATATAGCCTGAAATATTCCACAATCTCTTGTGCCAAGCATTTTTGTTCAAGTGTCCAAAAATTAAGTGAAGCGACTCCTTAACTTTGCCAACGTCTGTCGCAAATAATAAATTTATTTAGAGGAAAATTTCTCATGAGCGGAATGTATCGGAGAATTTTTGCGGTTGCTTCTTTCAATACAGTATCCACATAGAACGATGTAGTTACATGAAAACGCTTGGCAGCTTTCAAGAAATTTATCGTAAGCGTGACTTCATCACTCTTTGATTTGTTTTTCGATTATTTCCAATACTTTCTCCATATCCGGCCAAAAGTTTATTTCTTGACACTGGATCAAGCTCGGTGAGCTTGGTGACATTATGTGGATTCGAAATATGTGGGATCTATTGCGTCGACTGTGATGGGGGTAGCCTCGGCTTTGCACTAATGATGGTTTGGAAGATAAAATTGTCAGTATCGCACTTCAAAGAAAAGTTTCGCCAACGGCAGCACCGATAGTCCAATACTCGCATATGTCATGTAAGGTGGGAAAAAGACGCGTTGGAAGGTTGCGCTAAAATACATCGCTCTCGATGCCATATAGTTATACGTCTTTTTCTTGTTTTCTTACCTTGTTAATATCCGCCTGTATGACTGGATTAATTTTCAAACCGATTTCTGGTATCTCTGTATTATGTTGTAAATGGAACAACGCCAACTCCAATTCGGCAATCTTCTTCTTCAAATCATCTTGTTTAATTTTGTTTCCCGTCTCGGCATTATCTCCCTTAGCACTAACATATGCGTTAAAATACGGCACAAGTGCGTGATGAATATATGAACGCTGTACCACGTATGGACTGACGCCAGCTGACCCGGATTCTGTAGCGGCAGGCCCAGGGAGATTGGTTATTTGTATTTGAGTGCCAAGCGAACGGGTAGGATCGAGCGAAGGTACTTCTTTTATTAAGGCAATGGAGGTAACAAATTTTGGTCCGTATGAAATTTCCTGGCTCAAAGTATATGCGTACGTAGGGATGACGGATCATCTGTAAGATGATAAGAATTCAGTTAGATAAAGTTTTTACTGGATCGATTATACCCACTAATGTAGTTATTACATGTAGCAGAAATTTGTTGTAACGATAGACGCGCGCAGTATGCCACTACTGAATGTTTGTAGCAAAATTTTCTTGTCTAAGGATTTGTCGCGTCTGCTAAATGACACGGATGGATTTGTCATTTGCAAACTTTTGCAATTGTTCTAGAGTTTTTGGGAAAAGACCACAGCGAAATGGCAAGTTCTGATTCTTTTGCTCCGAGCAAAAGAGACAAAAGTTCATCAAGAAATCCCTGTAATATAAATTCGAACGGAGAAGTTAGTGAAGTTCCATCATACTGCAACGTCTCAGCGCCCGAAGCGGACTTATCAGCTTGTATCTCATCGTAACTCTGTTTTGATGCTACTTCAAAAGAAGGCGAATACGACAGTTCGAATTGAAACGCTCCGCAAACGAAGAAACATATTACTCCTAGGTACACACTACTCCATGTATCCGACACCCGAGTCACAACTCATTACCTGTAAAATTTTGTTGGAGGCGGAACTTCTCCAATTCCAATTTCTTCTGTTCGAGCTCCAACAGACGATCCAAGTTACTCTAAGTTTGTAAGTTTTGAGGTAGGTTCTTGAAGTCTTCCATGACAAAGACCTTGCACGACATGATATCAACGTAAAAATATTACAATCGTACCTCCCAGCTTGGGTATTTCCCCTATTGTATTACCATAAATATACCTCAGTTGTATATCTCTATCCCCAATATCCCGCCTTTATAGGTAATCTATTAAGAATGCAAAACCTCGTCTATATACATAGCATAGAACTCCTCGATTGTGTCTTACAACAGGCACAAGTAGATATTAATATGGAAGAAGCAAGTATTTCTGTATGAGGGACAAAAGGAATTTGCAACAATGCAATATAATTCAGCGCTTCCCTGATTACGTCATTGTGGACAGAGCGCAGGAAAAACAGCTCATACTCAGAAATATTGAAACGACTGTGCGACAAAAGATACCTTCGAAGAACAAACCTAAGGGAAAAAAACCAGAGGCAATTCAATGTTGGATTGACGGAGGAATAAAGACGACAAAATGAAAATAAAGAAATAGATAATAGTGATAATATTGTGTGTAATATTAAATATGCAGCAGTGTCAAAATTAGTTTAAAAGTGATCACTTGCTAAATAAAAAATAAAATATTTGTGGTTACAAAAATCGACGTAAATTTGATTGACTCTTTGGATGCAATTGTGTCAAAATAGCGAAATGCGAATTAAAACTCAACAAATGCGCTCAAGCAGTCTTTTATCAACAAGCCAAAGGCTATAATAATAAGGAACGATCTTTCGTTGATAGGTCACTCGATCAATAAAGGCCTTAATGGAAAGCTTTACGTTAAATTGCTTTCCCTCAAGTTTTCTAACTTCTATATATTTGTGCTGGTACTGAAGAGATCGAGAATGCACGCGTAAAAAAGATGGGCAGAGAATTAGAATGATTGTAAGGACAAAAAAGGTAATAGAAACTGTCCACAGAACTGATAGTACCGTATTCTTCCGAAATAAACAACACTTTTTTTATTATTATTATAGTGTTGCTTATTTGTGGGTCTTTTTAAAGTGTACGGTTAACGCTGGGGGACCTATTTAGTTGCACGTTTATTCTTAATCAATAGTATTTCCATTGTAATGCACGTCATGTGATTAGATCTTTAATAATAAAATTTTCGTGTTTTAACATGATTGAATATTCTTTAAATACACACCTCCCCTAATACTCAGAAGCCCGGTCCCGTCGACGTGCACTTAGGAGGTCCCACTGTAGTTTAATAAAATGCGATCTAGATCACGCAACCACCAAATCATGTGATTGACTATAAACTTATAATAACCGTCTCAAATACTATAAATTTGTATAGTCACAAGAGTCGAATTTATTTATTGGGAAACAGCAACTATATAAAAAAAAAAAGATCATGTTTCAATTTTAATACAAGCTTAGTCAAATGATTTGATCGTTTTTCAGTTTATTTTAATTTGCATATGGCAACAATTAAACTACGTGCTTTTAACGAATAACAACTAACAATAATCGCAGATTGGAGTTTATTAATGAGAATTGGGCGTCTAATATACTTCGATCCAAAATTTTATCCGTAATGCAACTGAGCAGGTGCAGACATATGCTGACAATGACTTTCAGGAAACATCATATAATCAATAGTAATAGCAGTTAGCACTGCACTCAATAAACAATTTATTGCCAAGTTATTGAAATCGCGTCACGAGCTGCTCAATTCTTGACACACGCTCGTTATATGCATTTTCAGCTGCCGTCCATATTTCTGTTCCCTCGGGTGATACATCTAGTACATTGATGTCTTTTAAATTCTCATATGCTTTCTCAATAACGCCTTTTTCCTCTTGCGCCATGACTTTAACAATACACTGATGCAGTTGTTCATGCCGTTCACGTAAATTCTTGACCAACGAAACACGTTCACATAGTTTGGCATGAGCGGGATTTATCTGAATAGCTGTGAACTTTTCGGCACGCTTGCGCCTTACAACACGAGCTACATTTGCGAATTCTTCTATACACTCATCCCATGTGTAGAACGCCTCTTCAGCACTGGACATTACTCTCTCAAACTCATCATACTCAACGTACATCAGTCGACGATTGCGCAAGACCCTGAGAAGTTGGTCGTTCAAGTCACGGGAAATAGCTTCGACAAGGAGAAGTGTTTTTTTGATTGGATAAGGCGTTAGTTTCAATTTTTTGTTCAAGTGTCCAAAAATCTGACGAAGCGACTCTTTAATTTTGCCAACGTCTGTCGCAGATAACAATTCATTTAGAGGAAAATCTCTCATGAGCTGATTGTATCGGATAACTTTTTCGGTTGCTTCTTTCAATCTAGTATCGACATAGAACGATGTAGTTACATGAAAACGCTTGGCAGCTTTCAAGAAATTTATCGTAAGCGTGATTTCATCACTCTTGATTTGTTTTTCGATCATTTCCAATACTTTCTCCATATCCTGCCAAAAGTTTATTTCTTGACTTGCTGTTCCACTGGCGGGGTCTCGATCAAGCTCGGTGAGCTTGGTCATCTTTTGAATTTCCTTGATCCAGCCGTTGACCTCGGATTGAAGTTTGTTGAGGAATGTGGATTCGAAATATGTGGGATCTATTGCGTCGACTGTGATGGGGGTAGCCTCGGCTTTGCACTAATGATGGTTTGGAAGATGAGATTGAAAAATTGTCAGTATCGCACTTCAAAGAAAAGTTTCGTCAACAGCAGCACCGATAGTCCAATACTCGCATATGTCATGTAAGGCGGGAAAAAGACGCGTTGGATGGTTGCGCTAAAATACATCGCTTCTCGATGCCTTTTACCAGTTTTGCCATGCTATATAGCTATACATCTTTTTCTTGTTTTCTTACCTTGTTAATAGCCGCCTGTATGACTGGATTAATATTCAAAACGATTTCTGGTATCTCTATATTATATTGTAAATTATACAACGCCAACTCCAATTCGGCAACCTTCTTCTTTAAATCATCTTGTTTAATTTTGTTTCCTAACGTCTCGGCACTACCTCCCTTAACAATAACATATGCGTTAAAATACGGCACAAGCGCGTGATGAATATATGAACGCAGTGCCACGTATGGACTGACTCCAGCTGACCCGGATTCTGTAGCGGCAGGCCCAGGGAGATTGGTTATTTGTATTTGAGTGCCAAGCGAACGGGTAAGATCGAGCGAAGGTACTTGTTTTATTAAGGCAATGGAGGTAACAAATTTTGGTCCGTATGAAATTTCCTGGCTCAAAGTATATGCGTACGTAGGGATGAACGGATCATCTGCGATGAAGAATACATTGGAGTATATAAAGTTTGATGATAAGAATTCGGTTAGATAAGGTTTTTACTGGATCGATTACATCCACTAATGTAGTCATCTGCTGGCGCACCTAGTATTTTTGACAAAAAAATGACATGGACGGATGTGTCATTTGCAAACTTTCGTAATCGTTCTAGAGTTTTGGGAACAGACCACAGCGAAGCGGCAAGTTCTGATTCTTTTGCTCCGAGAAAAAGAGACAAAAGTTTATCAAGAAATTCCTGTAATATAGATTCGAATGGAGAAGTTAGTGAAGCTCCTCCATCATACTGCAACGTCTCAGCGCCCGTCGTTGAATCTTCTTGATTTGGGACAGTATCGTCATAGATCAAGGCGGACTTATCAGCTTGTATCTCATCGTAACTCTGTTTTGATGTTACTTCAAAAAGAAGGCGAATATGACAGTTCGAATTGAAATGATCCGTAAACGAAGAAACATATTACGCCTAGGTACACACTACGCCATGTCCCCAACACCCGAGTCACAAAGTCATTACCTGTAGAATTTTGTTGGAGGCGGAACTTCTCCAATTCCAACTTCTTCTGCTCGAGCTCCAACAGACGATCCAAATTACCCTGAGTTTGTAAGTTTTGAGGTAGTTTCTTGAAGTCTTCCATGACAAAGAGCTTGCACGACATGATATCAACGTAAAAATATACAATCGTACCTCAATTATCACTCGTATCCCAACCTCGGTTATATCCCAGCTTGGGTATCTCTATCCCCATCCTGATCTATTAAGGATGCAACCTCGTTTATATCCCTTAATCATTGTTTGCCTATTTATATCACTTGTATTACATACTATTTCTATCGGAAAAAGGACTCGATGCGATGGCTAAGAGAACAAAGAGAATTTGCAACGGGAAATGATGTAAGATATGCGTGCAATATTTTCGCAGTAGAAAAGTCTATAGCTTCACTGATTGCGTACGTCAGACAAAAGAAATGTCCGATAAGTAATGTCTACCTTCGAAGAACAAACCCAAAGAAAAAAAAACCAGAGGTTGGATTGACGGAGAAATGAAGACGACAAAAATGAAAATAAAAGAATAGATGATAGTGATAATATTATCAATAATAGTCATAGTAAAGAAATAATGAAATTTAAATTTGCACCAAAAAAATAGATCACATTTATCAATGCCTTTGGATCCGAGTATTTTCTGCTTTTATTGTCGCTAAATAAAAATTAAAACGCGAATTTGCAAAGCAGCGAAATACGAATTAAACATTCAAACGGTCTTTATCAACAATCCAAAGGCTATAAAAAACGATCTTTTGTTGATGGGTCACTTAGGCCTTGGTGGGAAGCTTTTACGTTAAACTGCTTTCTCTTACGTTTCCTAACTTCTATATATCTGTGCTGGTACTGAAGAGATCGTAAGAATGCATGCGTAAAAAAGATGGGCAGAGAATTTGGACATCCACAAGTATTGTAAGGACAAAAAGGGTAATATTACATTAACATTATCATTAAAAATGGTATAATACATAGTTCAATCGAATCTAGCGAAAAAGACGGTACAGATATTTTTCCAGGTTCGCACAATATATGGCGTTACAAAAATATCGTTATATCCGGTTCACCCTTGAAATTGAATCCAATATGAATAAATAAAGTTAGTCTTTACTATGCATATCGTATCCCATATAGGTTCA